ATAGAAACTATTGTTATAATTATTATTATTATAGAACCTATTGTTATAATTATTATTATTATAGAAACTATTGTTATAATTATTATTATTATAGAACCTATTGTTATAATTATTATTATTATAGAAACTATTGTTATAATTATTATTATTGTAGAAACTATTGTTATAATTATTATTATTATTGTAGAAACTATTATTATAAATATTATTATTTATTCTGGCATTTAATTAAAAGAAGTAAAACAACAAAAACAATAACATACATTTAATTAACCGTAAATAAATCAATTCAAAACTAAATATAGATTTTTATTAAATTTCAGATTGCTTTAATTTTTTTCTAATCAATGTTATTTCCGCCAATATATTTTACGATTTATTACTGCATTAATGATAATTTCATTTACTTATTTTCTTATGTTTTTGTTTCGTTCAGATTGGCACCTACATTACTGATGGTTTCGGCTATTCTAATCGTTATTCCACTGCTTGGTTCCGGACCTATCTGGCACGAAACGGTGGATCACCTAGCGGAAGATTGTAAAAAATGGTTGTGGACGAATGCTATTTTCTTGAACAATTTCATAGGGACTACTACAAGGGAAATAGTTAGTATTTGATCATGAAATACGTGCTGAGTTTACTTAATCCTGAAATACGAGTTGAGTTTACTTAATCCTGAAATACGTGTTGAGTTTACTTAATCCTGAAATACGTGTTGAGTTTACTTAATCCTGAAATACTTGTTGAGTTTACTTAATCCTGAAATACGTGTTGAGTTTACTTAATCCTGAAATACGTGTTGAGTTTACTTAATCCTGAAATACTCGTTGAGTTTACTTAATCCTGAAATACGTGTTGAGTTTACTTAATTCTGAAATGCTTGTTGAGTTTACTTAATCCTGAAATACGTGTTGAGTTTACTTAATCCTGAAATACGTGTTGAGTTTACTTAATCCTGAAATGCTTGTTGAGTTTACTTAATTCTGAAATACGTGTTGAGTTTACTTAATCCTGAAATACGTGTTGAGTTTACTTAATCCTGAAATACGTATTGAGTTTACTTAATCCATAAAATACGTGTTGAGTTTACCTATGTCATTATATTAATTTCTTGTGTTTAGTGGTTAATTAAACATCGAATACCCGAACTTTTTTGTTGTTGTTTTTATCTTTGTGTATTTCTTGTAAACCTCATAATATACTTCTGCGCATGGCAGGCCTAGTATTTAATGTTCCGGACTGTGAATCTGGGTGGCCTTGATTAGCGTCAAATTGTCGAGAGAAAAAACTCGCGATCAACACTTTGGAGCCGCTTTGGGTTTGGTCAAATCTCACTAATCGACTAGAGTAACCCAAGAGTTGGCGTAAGGTGCTATTTACTAGCTGTCTTCAATATGATATTTCAGTTCAAAATTAAGGACGGCTAACACGCATGGCTGTTATATGGCTTTGCGCGAATTTCCCAAACCATCGTCAGTTACGAAGTAATTTCATTAGCAAACGTTTGCCCCCCCCCCAGTGGCGCAGCGGTATGTCTGCCTACTTATAATACTAGAAACCGGGTTTCGATACCCATGATGTGCAGAGTACAGATAACCTATTGTGTAGCTTTGTGCTTAATTACAAGCAAGCAAACAAAAAATGAAATCAAATGTGGTAATCAACATTAAAAATCACAGAGGGTGGAAGGTGGCATTCACGTGCTTATTAACGTACTCACCCAGGTATATACTGAGTATTGGCATAGCATGTTTCATCCCGTGGTTCCATGCACTTATTACAAAGTCATTATTATGTAAACCAATGTGGCTTAGTGAATATCGTGTCCGGGCTGTGGATTGGAAGGTCCAAAGTTTGAACCCGTGAAATATCTTGACTATGCTCCATCCGGTCAGCAAGTCTAAATTGGGAATATTTCTTGGGGCTCTGATCTAGCTGTCAAGCCAATGTGTCGCATAGGATGTCATTTAGGCTCAAAATAAAGTTCCCGTTTTCTGTCAGTTTGCTTATTCTGCTAAAGAAATCCTGTAGCGTTCATTTTGATACACAGATTAAAAGAAACAAAACACCAAATAATATATTTATATTTTTTAAAAGAGTCACCCACTTAACTAACGAACAAACTTTGTTGGATAATAGACATATTTCTGTATAACGTTTCGTATCTTGGTACGTGATTATGGCTTACTATTAGAAACGAAACGTTGTACAGAAATTAAATATAATTATCCAACAACTTTGTATTAAATAATGTAGCTAAGATAAGGATGAAGATTTTGACGGGAAGTTAATCTGATGGAAAGAACTTTAAAGAAAGTAGTTTGTCGTTCCTTAATCCGCATAAAGCAGGAACGATGTTATTCTAAAACAACCAGTGATTTTTCATACGGATTTAAACTAAACTGTTAAAACTAATGAAAAAACAACCAGTGATTTTCATACGGATTTAAACTAAACTGTTAAAACTAATGAAAAAACAACCAGTGATTTTCATGCGGATTTAAACTAAACTGTTAAAACTAATGAAAAACAACCAGTGATTTTCATGCGGATTTAAACTAAACTGTTAAAACTAATGAAAAACAACCAGTGATTTTCATGCGGATTTGGAAATATAATTTCTTGTTTTGCAGTTCATTTCTTTGACTCGCAGTTCATT